CAAATTCACTATATGGCTACTATAAAAATTAAGAAAGAATGTTACTAAAAAATTATCGCAAAGCTTTTCCTCCTCCCACTGGTTGAGATCTCAGCCCCATCTCCTGTTCGAAAGTATTGATATATGGGCTGGGCCCAAAATGATGTGTTGGTTTAGCCCAACAAGATCACCTCATTGCCCATTCGTTTATCAATCTGATTGGGCCAGGCCCACTTTGAGTCTTGGACTTTTTAGCCTTCCAGGCCCACCCTCCATAGCAAAAATCTCATGTGCAGCTGGATATTTCGTTTTTGTTAACGGTTTTATTACAGCCAATGCGTCGTCGAGGATGACATCGATTCCAACGGTACATTCCTTCCCTTGCACGGATAGATCTTTGGAATCATATACTTTTTCTATTGTGAGAGGGTCAAAGTTTTCTGAATTCTCAAATCCTGTAATTTGCGTCCTCGATATCTTTTCTATTGAGAGAAGTCAAAGTTTTATGGATTCTCAAATCCTGTAATTTGCGTGCTCGATATCTTCTCTATTGAGAAAAGATCAAAGTTTTCTGGATTCTTAAATCCTGCACATTCCTCCTTTTTGGAGAGAACTCGATCACTTTTCCTTCTCCTAGCAAGACTAAGGTTCTTCTCGGATTCAAATCCGATCAATTCCCTAACCGTAATGAGAAAACTCGGAGGTATGGGTAATCTTCCAAAGTCACGATTCAAAGTGACTAAACCAATAGTATCTGGCGTAGCCGTAAAGACGATCTTGACACATTTGAGGCCCTCCTCGGATCCGCTGTCTATCTTTCGCGATGATTTATCTGTTCTAAGTTTAATTGCGTTTAATTTATGTTGTGGAAATTTAAGAGGATGTTTAATTCCTTCTTCTTGTATGATACAAGTTTAAGTTAATGAAGAATGTTTAACAATTTTTTTTTTTTTAATTAAGGAATTTACAGGTCTACTACTTTAATAAAATAAATACATTTTTAAGAGATTAATTATACTTTTATTTTTGTGTCAAAGCCTGATACACTTTAAATCACCGCCATATGAAAAGGGTGAATCTCATCATTTATTTAGAGTAATAGATAATCTTTAATTTGTCAGCGCTGGCAATAAAATTTAATTATATACGTAGAAATGAAACTTATGCTAATGACTCAAATACTCGTTTTATAGTAATAACATATTTTTTTATTTTTATAAATTTACCATTTATATTTTTAACAAATTAAATGGTTTTAAACAGTAATATGAGACTAAACAGTCATAAATGTACGCATAAGACATATATAAAAAAACAAATTTTGCCAATTAAAAAAATCTAAACTCTAAGAGGGGAGTTTTAACCCTAGGGAAGCCTTAATCCTAGGAGAGCCTTAACTCTGACACACTCAATAAAACTACGGTTTGATTCAGTTCGACTACAGAAA